GGCACTGCATTTAGCCGTATGGAGTGGAAATCCATCAACTTCTTGAAGAAGTGGGTTGTAGCCCACGAAAGCTTATGCTCTAATAAATTTGTTAGTCTCTAAGGTGCCACAAGTACTCCTGGTTTTTTTGCGGATACAGACTAACACGGCTGCTACTCTGAAACCTGTTATTAAGACTAGAGCATTCTAATGTAAAGGCTGCGGGAGAGTAAGTAACTTGCAGCGTAAAATGTATGTTGTGTAGTCTCACTGTATCGTGAGCCAAATGACTTGGGGGTTTGTCCATCCAAATCTTGTAGGTGGACAGGGATCCTCTGGTTTCAGCCAAAATAAACCAGGCACTTCTATTGTCCTGTTCAAGTGGAAGTGCTAAATATGTGGACTGTGCAGTCATGAGATGCATAAGGCTAAATTTTTGTTTTAGAGTAGAATATTTCTCTGACTGCTTTCTATTTCTATCCAAATATTGGCAGTAGCACACGCTTCATTAGAGTGTTGGGCTGGTTTCACCTAAGGAAATCAACCTAACCTTTGTTCATCAGTTGATTTCTCCCTCCTCCCCCTTTCCATATCACCCCATTTTGTTCAGGAGTACATAATTTAGTAGATGTTCTTGGAGGTCTCCAGATTTCCATCATTAAAAAAACAAAAAATCTGCTACTGTCTTCCAAAATGGTTTTGGCAATTAGACCCTAAAAACTTGGTTAAACAACTTTAGCAATTTATTATCTTTGATGTCTCACTTAAAAATAGGCAGTTTTCTCTATAGAGGGCACAGCTGAATTAAAAGATTGACTTATATTGGTACTTGTAGCGGGGTGGACACCCACTCCTGCCCTGAAGGGCTTGAAACCAGCCCTGAAAGAGGGCTGCAGGGGTTAAAAGCAGCCCTGCAGAGGTCTGCAGCTCTAAAAGCTGGGCTGATTGGGGAAGGGGCTGCAGCTGGGCCACCAATCAGGCCACAGCTGGCCTGTATATAAAGGCTGGGAGCCAGGAGCTCAGCAGTCTCTCTCTGCGTTCAGAGAGAGAAGAGCCTGGCTGCAGGAAGCTTAACTAAGTGCCTAGAGTGGAGCAGGGCTGGGGAAAGGCCAAGGGAGCCGGGGAGCTCCAGCCTAGGAAAGCCCCAGGCTGCAGGCCTGGTAAGGCCTATTAGGTACTGGGTTGCAGGGGGGCAGCCCACAGGTAGGCAGAGGCAGCAGGTCCGAACCCCTTTGCCTGTGATGAGTGGCTGATACTGCAGTCTGCCCCAGTGAATGAGGGCTAGATGGAGACTGGGCAGAAGCCAAGACTGAGGCAAAGTGGGGATAGTGGGTGGGAGTTCCCCTGGGAGGAGGAGACCCTAAGAGTGAAGGGTTACTGCTAGGGGGCTGCACCCCAGGTACAAGGGCACTGGGGTCCAGGGTGGGACACGGGGGCCAGAGGACAGGTGGATCACTGGCCTGCAGAGGGCGCTCTGGAGCTTGATTGAGCTAATTCCCTGAGAAACCAGCAGGAGGCGCCGCAGGGGTGAATCCGCTCCTCTACAGTACACTGATCTCTCGATGAACACCATTTAAACAGGACACATTGCAGAGACACACAAGACCTGAGGGCTAGGAATTCTTGATTCGATACCAGTTTAGACAGACTTGTGCGGATTTTGGCAAACCACTTAACCCCTTTGCACCGAATCTCCGTTTTGCCTACCTAATTAGCAGTTTTTGGAAGGATTAATATTTGCAGAGTACTGTATGTGGTGCGTTGCTTTGTATTGGAGCCAAAACAAGCAAGGTAGCCAAGCAAGCATAGATACAAGAACTGGAAAATCATTTGTAGGCTCTTGAGTAGGAAAGTAAATCAATAAATATCATGTCCTCTTCAGACTATCTGTTGATATCAACCTGCCTTACTTCCATGATTTAAATCAAAGAGGATTGTTAAAGCAGAAACAGGAAACAAAACAATGACACAGATAAGAATCCTGGAGGAGACCATGAAAAAGCTGTTTTGGGGGAATACCCCCCTGTCTGGCTCCAGGCAGAATCTCTTACTCGTTCTATAGCTGAGTTTAGGATCAAAGGAAATCCCAAACCATGAGGGTAGACAGCCAACTCCTTACTTTGGTCACAGCATCAAAACCAGGGTGCGTTACCTCTCCCATGTGGAGCAGAGTGGGACCCAGGGTTGGTCCCTGCCCATCTCCACATGGGAGTGATAACTCCCCCTTATTTTGATGCGGTGACCAAAGCAGCGAGCTCACTATCTACCTGCTAATAGTCTACGGGGTGCATTTGCCAACCATCCTTGCTACCATGTTGTCACAGACTCACAGGACCCATGCTCTCTTGGCTCCATATGGTCCCTGGGAGGAACTTCCTTTGGTGTGATAGCCCTCCTTGGGGGGTCACATTCTTGGGGGTTAAGCCCTAGGCACCGCCTCCTCCTGGAACCACACATCTGAGCCTTCAGCACACCCCTCTCTCTCTCTGAGCCCCCCTCAGAGAGTCCACTCACCTTGGACCTCCTGGGGGGCCTCCATGACCCAGTCTGAGTGTGGTTGGACTGGGTGGTTCCACCCAAAATGAGGTGCAGGAAGCCAGGCCTATCACCTATAGGGTGCACCTGAGAGACTAAAAAGTGGTCTAAGGTGCAGTTTCCCCTGTAGCCGTGACAACTCCATGTGTCTTTTAAAAGGAAAACGTAGATTTAATAAACCCACTCTACCCTATTTAAATATTTAGTTGGGACAAACAAAGTTAAAAGGCTCAGTTTCTAAATGTAGCTACCGTGTGACTTGTCTTAGTGATGCATTGGGGAATATGAGACGTTTGCTTCTTGACTCCATTATCCACAGTCTTGTTCTATTTTTCTCTAAAAATTGGCTGTCCATATAAGTTTTTGATAATGATATTGGTCTTATTTTGTAAAATGTTACAGGAGTAATATACCATCCACTTTTGCCAGAATTGGAAATAAACTAAACCAGCAGAAAGACATGCGTCAAGCAACTTTCCTCTTCAGGAGGGGTCTGAAGGTACAATAAACATTTTCTTAAATAAAATAAATACTGTGCACTAGACTCTAAAATGAATGTTATTTTCTTCGTCAGCTCCCCATTTGATGGATCAGACTATCTAGATCAACTCTGAATAAAATCACTTGACGTGTCGTCTTTGATCTCTGAAAAGACAACACTTCAAGTGGCCTTGGAACCATATACTTACCATTCCAGGAAAAACCTGGGCCTATCTTGAGTTAAAAATTTCTTGTAGAGCAATATGTGAGTCTTTTTGTACCCCAAAAACAGTTGAATCATTCTGAGGTTTATGGAATTGGGGTGTGTATTTCAGGATAGTGGTAAGCCCTTGCAGCTTCTTCTTGAAGGTAAATTGTTTAAAGCTACATACTTTTAAAGTTTGCCTTTAGTTGAAGGATGGAAGGCAGTAAGCTTCAGAATTGCATGATTTGTTTATCCTTAAACCATAAATGGTTATACAGATTTATGGTTAAACTATATACATCTAGATCAATCCGCCTCATAAGTAACAGTCAAATAACTAAGAATGCAAAGAGAAAAGTGGTTTTTAATTTTTTTCCTTTATATGTTTGAGCCCTAACTGTAACTGACACTGCATGGGTAGACACGAGCGCCACTTACTTCAGTGGGGTTCTGCACAGATACAGGGGTCAATCCATGTGGAATCACTTGCTTTAGTGAGGATTTTTCAGACTACAGGAGGGGAGATTAAAAAACACAATCAGAATGTGATAAAACTGCAAATTGGTAGGGGGATTCAGTGGCAATAGATACAGAATCTCTTATAGTAAGTTTCTTTTCACCACATCCCAGTTTGTGAATCTCTCTCCTCTATTCCAGCCATGTGTGTGGGTAAGCTTCCACCCTGTCTGGTCCTTATGACTCTGGATGGAATCTCTCTCCTCTCTGTCTTGCCTATTGGGTTACATTTTTTGGCAAATTTCTTCATTTTAATCCCTTTATAAAAATTGCCTATGCTTCAAGGGAACATGTGTTTCTGGGGCCTAAGGTGACCATCTGCAGTTGAACAGCACTAAAGTTGTAGATCTGTTTTTGGTATACATCTTATGGATGTGTTCATAGATTCTTGTTCATGTTTTAAAACCTCACACTGCAAGATCAGGAAGTGTAACAGTATTCAAATCCTGTACCCATCTTTCTGTGTTTTCAGGTGCAGGCACAAGTACAGCCAGTAGAAGAACTTCTGGATAATCAGGCAGCAAAGAGAACTCGCCAGTAAGTGTCATATTTCAGCTGAAGAGCTACAGTTAAGGCATTATCCATTTAAACTGCTTTGCTTTAGTTCTGTTGTATCCAGAGTACTCTAACTTGCTCCTGTTGTGGTGACTGGAACCTTCTTTTGTGGGCTTCTGAGTTGAGTAGTGACATGAATTTGGATGATGTACTACCCTGTTTCCCCGAAAATAAGACAGTGTCTTATATTAATTTTTGCTCCCAAAGATGCACTAGGTCTTATTTTCAGGGGAGGTCTTATTTTTCCTGGAGCTTCGGGGCCTTATATTCCGGGGTGGCCTTATTATCGGGGAGGTCTTATTTTCGGGGGATGTCTTATATTACAGCGAGAGGCAAAACTGGAAGTAGGTCTTATTTTCGGGGATGTCTTACTTTCGGGGAAACACAGTATGTTTTTGGTGGGAAACAGTGTTCATCCCTTTCTCCCTCCTTCCCGCCTGCTTTTACAGCAGCTCTTAGTTTAACTGGAAGGATCACTTGCACAAGATGCACCCAGGAATGAGGGATCTGTTGCCAATTTCAGAGCTACTAAGTAAGCTCTGCGCCCAAGGCTCTGTCATTTTAAAACTTAGGCTCTATATAGCTCAGTAGTTTCTCCCCTCCTGTCGATGTAGCAGCTACTGTACCTAATTTATAAATCCAGAGCCTGTAAAACAGTTTAAAATCAGTGAGACAGGCCATTTTCCAGGCTTACATGTGAAAAGGATAAGATCAGATCGGCATGTCTATGAGGAAAGAGGGAATCTCCACTTCCCAGGCTCTTCATGGATAAGCAAAAGGGATTGCAGCAAGCTATAGTAGGAAGAATAAACAGCTCATATGAGAGCAGCATATGTCACAGAATTTCAGACTCATTATTGGATTTGATGGACCTATCTGGTCTTATCTGCACTGAATATTTTCAGAAACTCCCATCATTGCTCTAGCAATTATTGAAATGCTAGGGTGGATTATGTGTTGGCACTCTTCACCTGATGTCATCTAGAGATGCTCTGAAGAGTTAGACAATTTAGTGGCTTCAAAGGCCTGTCTCAGTCTATGCTAGTGGTCCATATAGATGTGTAGCTTGTGCCTGGTTGTATGAGTCTTGGTATACCACCCAATACTCTGAAAACTCTAGAGTTCTGACAGACTTTTAAAATAGTGGCTAGTCAGGAATGTGCATTTCATGTAAAGCCCAAATGGTACGCTGGAATTTCAGCCTGCATACGTGATTCCTGTGCTTTCAAACTAGGTGGCGAACTTCTACCACAAATGGAGGCATTCTGACTGTATCTATTGACAACCCTGGAGCAATCCCATCCCCAGTGTGAGTAGAACATGCCAAACAATCTTCTTCCTTCATAATTCCAGTTACTGGTTCTGGGACCGGTGTAGCAAGCTCTCTATACTTACAGCTCCCAGTGGCATGAATGGGAGTTCTGTCTGTGGAGGCTTTGCAAGATCAGGCGCTTTCTGTTTCTCAGTCTGTGTTCAGATAATGTGTAATTGTTGGGGTGCACTTTGAGGTTTCTCGGTTAGGAGCTTGGTGTGGGCTTGAATTGAATTCCTCTCCCCTCACCAAGTCTTGAATGACTGAATGTCCAGGAATTGGTACTTGGATCCTCCCTAGTTTGTAGAAATAACAGTAGAATTGAGTTTAAATCAGACAAACATTCTTGTGTTCCTTTTTGTAAATTGGACAGGATAGCTGTATGTTAAGATTCTTAGTGTTCAACTTCAGAACTCTGAACAAACCTTTGATCAGTGGTACCTATCCTCAAAAGGGAATTGCACCAGCCTTGCTCTTTGTAGCTAAAGCTTGTAAAATTGACAGTAAAGAATCACTATATATCAATAGTGCTAGAGGTTTAAAATAAATATGCAAATATTTAAAATTTAATTTTAAAATACTGGCTCTCTTCCCCTCCCCTACCTACTTTTTAGCCCATTTAATCTGCGGATAGATATTGTTTTCAGTGAAGTGATGAATGGTTATACTCTGCCTCCTTGAAATCAAACATTTCCAACTATCCAGTCAGTGTTTCAACCATATTCTAATAATTCTTCCTTCCGTTGCAGTATTAGCAGTTTACTTGGAAGTGTGGTCTCCTGTCTTTTCATAGTACATCTTTGTAGACAGTAACACCTGATTATTGTTACATCAACCTTTATTCAATGTGCCATTTTAAAAATAGTCTTCTTTCAGTTCCCAGAAGCCACGGTTAACTCGTATTCCTGTGCCTCCATTTCTAATGAAGAAGGAGCAACCAGAAGAGAAGAAGATTCCCAAAGGAGTTACTTTGCAATTTGATATCAACAGTGTTGGAAAACAGGTAAAAGCTGTTTCCTAACACTCACTTGGAGTGATTCAACATATAACTAAAAGAGGTTTGGGGCTCCTTGTTAATCGAGTTGTCTAGGGCTAAAGTAGGGGACTAGTAGTTAGGCTCATTGATTCTGCTTCCAGTTTTGGCATTAGTTTGCTGTGTAACTCTGGACAAGTACCTAACCTCTCTGGTCCTACTATTAAAAAATCTGTTATGCCTATCTACCTCACAGAGGATTTAAAACTTAATAGTTGTGTAGCACTGTGATGTTCCTGGATGAAGGGCACTATATTCCTAAATTGAGAGTACAGCAGGGAACATCTATTTTTTTTCCCTTCTCTCTTTCATGTCTTCTGCACAACGCAGATGGCTGAATCTGACTAATTCAACTTTAGATGAGGATTGAAAACAAAGACTCTTCAAAAACTTTTTTGCATATGTATAAAATTGAAGAAAATCTCCTTGGGAATTTAGTTACATTGTTTTTTGTTTATATGCAGTGCCATGGCTCCTGAGTCTACAGAGTCCAACATCAAAATCTGACATTTTGGGAAAACAAAATTGTGCAATTTTGTGGTTTCAGAATTTGGGCTTTTTGTATCTAACAAACTTGCCAGACTGAATTACGTCACTCTACAGTTATGCAACAGCTGTGTCTTAAGTGAAAAGGAAAACTAAATTGGGGGCTGAGGAATAACATTCAGAATATCAGGAAATACAAAAGTAAAATTTCAGACTGGTGTTAACTCATCAATGTTACAGGTGGTGAAACTAAAATCCTATTGTGACAATACCACATAAAAATGTCATTGCTGTGTTGTATGACTTTCAGTGATTCCAGATCAAATCTTGCTTTATAAATAAAGGTGCTTTTTGTAACTGACTCCCTGTTTCCTAAAATAAGGAGGTTATGCTGGGTTCTTTCTTCACATGCACCACTATGTAATGAGTATTGCAAGTGTTCTTGTGAACAAAGTCGAATAAGTGAATTGTTAGCTAGAATAGAATCCAGTTTGCTCTCTCAACTGTGTGGACTATGAAACAGGAATGTAAAATAGTAAAAACCTGTATTAGTCACTGAAGTTGGCAGATGTAATTTAATATGTATGGAGAACAGATCTGTGGAGTCAAAGTTCTGTTTTCAGCTTTTTTTACCTTAATTTATATTTTTGCATTTCCTGACTTCACTTGCAGCTGAACACTGCATTAATGTTCTTGCATCTCATATAACTATAGTAAAGACGTATTCTACTCATGTATTTTTTTTTTAAATAAATACTGCAAAAGAAGGAAAACAAGATAAGTTAATCTTCAATGTTTGTTTACATACAACCCTTAGATGCGTGTTTCAGTATGGATAAAAAAAATCTGAGCAGAACTAGGCAGGGGTGATACTCATTGTCCTAACTTTGCTATTGTAACAGATCAGTCTGATACTTTCAAGCTCTATTATGAAATGATTTTGTTTTTCAGACTGGAATGACTTTGAATGAGCGCTTTGGGATCCTCAAGGAACAAAGAACAGCCCTGTCTCAGAACAAAGGAAGCCGTTTTGTAACAGTGGGCTAGAGGCTGTCGAAAGGACACATATATTAAAGACTCCACCGATCTGAGAAACTGGGATGAAAGTGGGCAGAAGAGTATAGTATACGTCACTGAAGTTCTCCAGACTTTTTGTTAGGATGCTGACACAACTAAATATCCTTATTGATTTTACTTTTAATAGTAAAAAGACACAATGACCCAGGCAAAAATAGGGCAACTGATCTGCTTGGTAAGTGGTGGTGTGTTCTGATCTAAACAGATTTTGTGTAACCCCAGTTGGTGATTAAGGCAGGAGATTTATTGCAGTTTCCCTCACAGCCCAAGTACAAACGGCAGGCAAAAGTTAATTATTTTTGTTAGTGACATTCAGTATCTGCTCCTCAGCCCCTGCTATAGTGAAGATCGTGTCAATATTTCCATTACAAACCTCTTTTCAGAGGAGCAGAGACTCTGCCAGAAAGCTTCCCTCCAGATTGCAGTTTGGCATAAAGCCTGAGTTTGAGAGTATTTCTGTTCAAGATGTAGCCGCCTCTTTTTCTTTCATAGGGGTTTGGTTGTAATTCTTTGTGCTTCTGACACTCGCAGTTTTTTTTCTTCCTTGGAGACTAAATTTTTTGCATCCTCATTTGAAAAAGTAGTTTTACTGTCAGGCCAGGTACTTAACAGGCATGAAGACTATACTACTCATCCTTAAAAGTGGTCCCCCCAAGTCAGGGTTGGGCAGTATGGGAGAAGCTTGTACTGCAGCTGTTCATGTTGTATCTGCCGCCTCAGTAAATGGAACTTTCTCTTGCATTTTGTTTAAACTCTACCCTTCTATTCCTTTTTTAGGTTTTCACAAATGTAATGCAATATGTTTGTTTGGTGTCCCTTTTATAAGGGTAAATACTGACTTTCATATAAGAAAGGGTAATGTGCTAAGTTTCCTAACCCTCCCAGACTCTGGATTTTAATGTCATATACCTTGCCCCTAAAGGGTTTCCTCAGTCTTTTAAGAAGCAGCCACACAGATAAACTATCAAATGACACCTGTTTGTATATACCAAAGAGAAATCAAGGATGAGCCTGATCTGAAGTAAAGTCAAATATCTTAACTGACATTGAAGCTGGGGAAGAATTGCTGGGATAAGAAGCCCACATTTTGCAGACAAGTAGGCACATGCTTAACTTTATGTACAAGTGTAATCCCACTGGCTTCAATGAGACTTCTAGCACGTGTAAAAGTTATGCATGTGCATAATTATCTGTAGGATGACTGCCAAATTGGAGCATCCTCATTGTGCATTCACACCCTTAATGGAAACAAAGCACCTGTTCAAAATTGTACAGGTAAAATTATCTTCAATTCCACGACCTAGTGGATTTTCAACTGTTTCATAGCAATGGGACTTAGATATAGCCAGATAAAAGGAATTGTTGGCTTGCTGCATCCACAGATGCCTATGTTGCAAAGTAGTTTTAATACTCTCTTGCTTAGACTATGGATTCAATTTTTTTAAAACTGGTTTCTTTGCACTTTTTCTGAAATTCCAAGTAAACAGCTTGTTTACCCAAGAGTTTAACATTGAGAGCATTTGACAGTGGAAGGACTTTCTTTCATATAGCAGTTTTAAAGTCAAAATGCATCCTTGACACTGTTCAGTACTTAACCCTTTATTTTTAACTTTGAAAACGTACCTAGCAAAAATTTAATTAAACTTCATGGGTGTTAAGGTTTTTTAAATTACCAGTAGAAATTTTGTTGAAAAAAGTCCCTCTGTTAGAATTTAGGTAATGTGGTGTTAGTCATCCTGTTTCAGTGCATACATTTCCTGTGTACCAGGATGCAACAAAGATGCAAAACATTGATGCAATGCATCATGAAAAGCTAGTTTGTATTTAATGAGAGAGATGGCTTTACACTGTACCTTTTGATATTTTTTTTGGAGAAGTTACTACATTTGGATCTATTCTGAAGCTTGTTGGTTTTTTTAAATAAAATGTTACAGGTTTCACATTTTGTGCCTGCTTATAAACCTTTGGCCAGTACATTGATAAATTATGCAGATTTCAAATATCGCACAAGGGAGAATTCAGTTCTTGTTAACTGTAGCTCTTAACTTGCTGTATGTTCCTTGAAACATTTAACATAAAGAAATCTGCACTCCTGAGTCAGCCTACATCCTGAGATGTGACCAGCACTTCCTGCTGCTGTATTGTGTGAACTATGAATTTCATTTGATGAATACGTTAATTAAAACTGACATTTCTGAGCTTTCTCTTAGCAAGTACCATCTAATTGAAAAGTGATGTAGTCTGTGACACACTGCCAGCTGCCAAACACATAAACCACTTTTCATGTTGCTTTAGTATGGTTCACTAATCAGAAGATAAACTTTAATCTAAACCAGTATTACAGGATCAGTGTGTTTGTCCCTGACAGATTCCCCTTCAGTCTCAAATGAGGTCACTTTTCAGTGAGATGCCAGCAGGAGCTTAGATTTGCAATAAAAATGCCACTTCTAATTCCTGCTGTAGACAAAACATAGCCTTTAGATATGGTTGACAAAATTTCAACTGTGGCAAGTGCCTGGCCAGCCCCCTGGATTATCTAAATTCCTTGCTTTTCCATTACCAGCTAAGGCCTGAATGATGAGCTTGTTCAGATATTATCTAACAAGACATATGCACTGGTTTTTATTGCAAAATAGCATATCTGTCCTTCCTGAAAGATCAAGGTGAGCTTTTGTGCAGATATCTCAAATTATAGTGCTGGAGTGAGTCTTTTATTTTTGACTAGTGACTGGGGTAGACCTTAAAAGAAGAAATGTTTGAAAGGGTTGCACTTATCCCTAGTTCACAAAGCAACACACCTTATTCACATTCAGAATTCCCATCAATAGAAGCAGTCTGGGAGGATGTGTTGACACTGCTTAAGTAACCTAATCCAATGCCTTTGCCTCACCTGAACTGCCCCCCCCCCATATTTTTTATAGAATCATAGAATATCAGGGTTGGAAGGGACCTCAGGAGGTCATCTAGTCCAACCCCCTGCTCAAAGCAGGACCAATTCCCAACTAAATCATCCCAGCCAGGGCTTTGTCAAGCCTGACCTTAAAAACCTCTAAGGAAGGAGATTACACCACCTCCCTAGGTAACCCATTCCAGTGCTTCACCACCCTCCTAGTAGCTTGTGGACCAAATATTAGTGATCAGTGGAAGACATTACTTGCAGATCCTATAGGTGCTAAACAAGTATGTATTGAAACTTATCCTCTGGTGGTTTTTTTGAAGGGTTAGAATGACAGTGAACATTGGATTTGAACATTGATAGAGCAAAGGTTTAGGATCTGCATCAAACTAAACTAACGTCTGTTGCTTTTCCGTATCAAAACCTGGGCAGAAATCTTTGTCTGTGAATAAAGGGATATGTAATCTCTTCTCTACTACAGAGTTGCATTAAATTTGTAATTCCAAAAATAACTGCAGCCATATAAGGACAGTGAGCTTTGTAGTGTTCGGGAGTTAATGTGCCAGAGGCAAAGAATCTTGTAGCAAAGATTCTGAGCTGTGGCCTGAGAGAGCAGCCTAGTGCAAAACCCACCATCTCTGGTGTAGCACGTTCATATCTACTAAGGGTATGTCTACGGGTAGTGATTGATCTATCGGGGACTGATTTATCGCGTCTAGTGTCGACACATAAATCAATCCCCGATTGCTCTGCTGTCGACTCCAGAACTCCACCATGGCGAGAAGCGGAAGTAGAGTCAAGGGGGGAGGGGCGACCATCGATCCTGTGCTGTGAGGTCGTGAAGTAAGTGATTCTAAGTTGATCTAAGATGCGTCAACTTCAGCTACGCTATTCTCGTAGCTGAAATTGCGTATCTTAGATCGATTCCCACCCCCCCAGTGTAGACCAGGCTTAAATGTAGAAGCCCTGCAGGTGAATACTGGCATAAAAACAGTAGGACACAGCCTCAGCTATTGTAAACCAGCAGAGCTCTGCTGATTCTAGTGGAGCTATACCTGTTTATACTTGTTGAAAATCTAGCCCATGACTCAAATACTTTCTCTGGCCTAAATCTATACCAAACCTCATTGTTAAATCAAACTACTGTACATTACAGCTGCAGCTATGCTTCTGTAGAAAGCCTCTTCACGAGGGTGCTATATTGATGGAACAACCCTTTCCATTGCTGTAGGTAACCCCCTCTGCAAAGGGCAGTAGCCAGGTTGCTGGAGTAATTCTTCTCATATCTCAGCAATGGAGCTAGGTTAATCTAAATGTGAAGTGTAGACCAGCCCTGAATCAAAATGGGTGAGTATGTCTGAGTGTTTTTATGACTAGAGAACTGCACTGACAGCACCACTCCTGGATTAAGGCATAAGCACTATAGGTTTTATGTCTAGGACCCCACCACGGGGTGAGGGGGGGGGGGTTAGGAGCGTATGTTAGCACCTCAGTTTCTGTTTAAAAGAAAAGGTTTAATCCTCTCTGCTTTGGTTACCCTTGCTTATCTATACTATGTGCAGCCAGCCTGGCCTAATAGCTGTATTTCATTGAATGGTTAACTGCAGGGCCTATTTCCTTAGGGCCCTGGGCAGCAGCAGCCTCATGGGGGCCTCTAGCTTGAGCAGACAGAAGAGTGCAGGGGACTAGGCCTGCTCGGGCAGCTGCATCCTGGCTGTTGATCCCCCCCGGGGTTCCATTCCTGGAGGGGGCAAACAGAGGGTCCCTGGGGCTAGGGTGACCAGATTGCAGGTGTAAAAAAATCAAGCCAGGGGGTGGGGGGTAATAGGTGCCTCTATAAGAAAAAGCCCCCTAAACCAGGCCTGTCCCTACAAAAGTGGGATATCTGGTTACCCTAGGTAGGGCTCCCCCTGTCTCTCAGGGAGGAGGAAGGAGGGGATTCGCTGCTAGGAGGGGCCTAGGAACCTACTATCCTGCTGTGCCTAGAAAGCGTCTGACTCATCTGCAGCCAGAGCAGAGGCTTGATGCTTCTCCAGCCGCGCATGCCCGCTTCATGCGTCAGTCCCTGTGTAGTGGACTCCGCCCTCCCCCTTCCGCGCATGCGCTCTCGTTTCCTCGTCCCCGGGCTCCGCGCCTGCGCACTGCCCAGAGGCGCCGGAGCTCTGTGGCGGCGGCGGAGGCGGGGGGGAAATGGCGGCCGTGGTGCTGGTGTCCGTGGAGAGCGGCTCGGGGATGATACCGGCCGGGAGCCCGGCTGCGTGTGGGGCTCCCGCGGGTCCCTGCGGGCCGGGTTCGTGGAGCCGTTCCCTGGACCGGGCCCTGGAGGAGGCGGCGGTGAGCGGGTCCCTGAGTCTGAGCGGCAGGAAGCTGCGGGACTATCCGCGGGGCAGCGCCGCCAACCACGACCTGAGCGACACCACGCAGGCCGGTGAGCGCGGGGCGGGAGGGGGGCGCCGCGGGGTGCGGGACCGTAACGGCCATCTTCCGCGCGCCACACCCCCGCCCCGCCCTGCCCCCAGCGCCGCCCGGGCGGGGCCCGCGAGCCAGCGCTGCTGGCCGGGGAGCGGAGCCCGGCGCGGGGCGAGCGCGGCTCCCGTGGGGCAGGCGGATCGCCCAGCCGCCGGGTCAGGGCGGGCAGCCCGGGGCGCGGGCTGGGCTCTGGAGCAGGGGCGCGGCCCGCTCCGAAGTCACTTCGGAGTAGATGAGCTGCCTTGCCGACTCCAGCCCTCGAGAGGCAGGATGGGGGCGAGTTGGCTTGGAGGCGCCACGAGTATCTTGCCAGCCCGATGAGCTGTCAGGCTCACCAGCGGTGCGGGGCTGGCTTTTATTTTTCAAGGCGTTGGTGTCCCTTTTTAATTGGCTAGATTTAAAAAAATCGATTAAAGCCAATGTTAAAATTATGTAATAGACCGATTAAGGAAAGAGTGTCTGAACTAAAGTAGCAACAGGTCCGCTGAGTCCCGTTGCTGAGTATTGTGGTTTTATAATCACACGTTGCTTTAAAAAAAAAAAAAAGCTTTCTCTGGCTGTGGGAAAGATTCACACTGACAAGTGAAACTGACAACACTGTCAAATGTGTTAAGAAAGTACCTGTAAAAATCCTTTTTGCTCTGTTCTGTGTTACAATAATCTTAGATGTTACTTGTAGCCAGAGGCAAAACCTTTTCAGACAGAAATGTTCGTCTTTTACCTGTGTTTTTTGGATAAAATAATGAAAATATTGGGTGGGAAAGGGATATCAAGGAATATTATGTAAGGAATGCTTATGAAGTTATTGCCTGGAATGTAGAACTTGTGTTTTATTAAAGCATTGTACAGAGGGAATTTTCCCTACATTTATTTTGCTGTCTGGTTGTATAAACAATGTCTTAGCTAATCTTGGAAGGCTTCAGCCATGCTAATAGCCTTCAACTTCAATTTCTTTTATGTATTCATTTTTGTTCATTGTTGATATTTGAGCTAATCTCTTTCTCATTTCTCTGTAAATTAGTTTGTGGTCCCTTGGTTCCAAGGACACTAGCTAAAAATAAACTGTACTGTGTTTTATTTTAAATAGCTTCCAAATCTATCAAGTACGTTCACAAGTGTATGGCTGTGTTGACAGGATGTTAGTTTATTTAAATCGTTCTGAGTTGAGGCCCTCTTTACATGGTTTAACTTTATATTCTGTATGCCAGGTCATATTTGGGAAAAAATCATTAAGGATGATTACAGATAGTAATAAAAAAGCCATACTGCTCAGGAAAAATCTGGCTTGTTTATTTAATTAATATACCTCAATGAACAGATAAAATGTTCCTTATTATGGTATGAATAAAACAATCTTGTACAGAAGAGTATGTAAATATAATCAGAGAATGAATGCTCAGTTGTCTAGTCTGTATGTATAAATGCAACTAAGGTTGACAAATCTGTGAAGGTGTTGTCCTTTTTATTGTTTAAAATGCTGTTCATTTCTTGTACTTTTAAAAACAATTATGGGAATTCTTGTTTCCACAAATGTTCCCTTCTATTGTGATTAATAATTGCATTGTAATTGTTCAAGAACCATAAATGTTAATAAATAGCAACGCACACCATACACTTCATGCATTGTCATAACAATGAGCAATGAAACTTTCTAAATAGTGAATGGAAAGCTGTGTATTTTCCTTTTTCCTGAGTGAAAAACTGTGCTTAAATCTAATTTGGGAAGGCCAGTACAGGTATCTCATTCCATTTTTGGTGGAGCATATTTTATGATGATTCTTTGTTTTGGATGAGGCTTGAGTATGGGAGAAAAATATCATACAGCTGATCCTAACATCTGAATATCAATTGTGCACTCAGTATAGATTTATTTCAACTTCTCTCTTTTCTGTGTCACATCAGTTTCTTTTGGGTGAAATGTACTTAATACTATTACAATCATGTGGAGTCTACTTATATATAGTGCCCACAGTGTGCTAGGAGCACCATGTACCTAAAAAAGACAATCTTGTACCTTGAAGATTTACAGCTAAGGCCCCCAATCCTGAAAAAACGTACACATGTACTTAACTTTATGTGCTGTTAGTAGTCCCGTCAAAGTCAATAAGACTAGACTACTCACATTGTATAAAGATAAATACATGTGTATGGGCTTGTCTACACAAAAGTTTGACTTTCACTATACTGAAGTAGATAAAAGCAGTAAACCTGCCTAGTGTGGATGCAGTTATGCTGGTATAACTTATTACCATATAGGAAGGGGAATGATCTATACCAATATTAAGCACTTGTATAGGTATGACTGCATCCATGCTAGTGGGTCGTACTAGTATAACTATATTGGTTTAAAAAAACCGGACCCCTAACTGACATAGTTAAACCATACAAAAACTGTGTATAGACCAGGCCTAAATCTTCACAGGTTCAGTGGCCTTGACTGCAAGATCTGATATGACAAGTGAACCTAAAAAAGGAGTTGGGATCAGTAGGGGGAGTCTTAGGATATAGAGATTACAGATGTAAGATCAAATTTACTTGGATAATCAATCTAAGTATTGAAATTGGTATTTTTATACTGTAAAGGGGAAGAAGTCATAAAACAAATGTATTTTACTGCTGCTATACTTTGCAAAAAGCAAGGTTCTGTAAAACCTTGACTCCCTAATTCACTTTTTAAAACCCTGTTGTTTCTCAAGCTATGTTAATCAGAACAGTAGATGCAGTTCATATAAAACTATGAATTCATTATATTTCTCAATTCTGTTCATGGGTTGGGTGAATGTCATAGTGGTTTCACGTTAGTGTAGTAAATGCAGTCATGATTCACACCAAGTCTTGAGCTAAAACAACACCGTGGAAACAGAAGTTAATAAATTTCAAGCAGTTCCAAGACCAGCTATACTCAGGCAGTTAACATTTCATTTCCTAACATCCAAAAGTAAGCCTCAAATAAATAATGGATGTGATGGCACAATACTACTTTGGTTAAATTTACTTTCACTGTTTTATATATTAAAACAATACTTAAGGTAAAGATATTTTGAGACTGCTACCCTACCATATTGTTTGTAACATTTAATAACTTTTCCAAAAGAGATGTGGTACTACCACCGAATAAACATGGGTCCTTCTCACCCGTATTTTGAGAGGTTTTTGGGGAGTAAATTGAAAGCAGATGTTCCTATTTACTTATAAAGAATAAACAGTTTTACACTCTGAGATTCTTAATATACTGTGTAAACCCAATAACATATTGTCTTTCAGTGATTGTTCAAGAAGTTTTGCCTTACCGTAGAAGTAATTGCAGGTCATGCCCAAACTACATGTGTAATGACACAAGTAATAAGAAATGTCATTGAGTGTATTATGTTACTAATTTGTAAAGCACCATAATTTTGCATGCCATTTTCAAAACATAATTTAGCAAGGTTCCTGCCTCAAGGGGCTGAAAATGTAAAGCCCTGAGCATGTGCATAAATCTCAGCAGAACTGAAACCTAAATTAGATAGATTCAGTACAGATGATTAAAGGTTGAAGTGCAAAAATGGTAGTAGATAACGTTGCAGTCAGTTTAGTGGTGGAAAGTTGAGCAAAGTGGATTTTAAGAAAAGATTTGGAGAAGGAAGATATGTGGCATATGAGCAGAGGAGGGAGATTCTTCTAAAGGCCAAGCATTTAGTATGGTTTCAAAGTGAATGTGAAATAGTACCATACCAGATTCTTAATTGCATGAGGAACTTCAGTATCTAAATCACATCAGACAATATTTTTGGTGAGACTCAAAACAATAACAGTGAAAACTGTCTGTGTAGATTGATATGGTTTTAAGAAAGATTAATGCTTCCATTATTTACTTTTTTTATTATTTAATTTATAAAATGTATCTGTTACCTTAAGACTCTAACTAAATTTTTTTATTAACTGGGAACTATTAATTGAATTCCTGAGACTAATTAAAAAAAATCAAGCTTCTGATAGCACAGTGTAAACAGCATTTGTAGATTATATTTTACTTGAAAAATAACTAGGGTTTTTCTGTTCTCTTCTGATGTTGAGAAGAGCAGCAACTCCAATCATGCACAGACACATCCTTATACGCAATCTTTTTTTGTGTGCACAATGAAGCCTTGCTGCTGCTGCTGTTACTAGTAATATCTCCTGCAGGTACACACGCTCCCCTCAGAACAGTGCGGTAGTTGTCATACTACTGCATGAAGCAGGAAGTGAAACTGGTCCTCAATAAGACCGTAAAGCTGACAACACACAGTGTAAACAAATTGGAAAAAAAAATCCTTTTCTCTAACTTCTTTCAGATACAGCAGTCTTGAATATTACTTGTAACTAGTAGGTACAAAACTTTCATGTAGAAAAGTGACTTTCAAGTTGACAGTGCACCTTTAATCAAACACAAATTAATTTAGCATTGTGCTGTCAACAACTGGTTGGAGCAACTTTATTCCTTAAATCAATAAATTGGCGCAGTTACACTTAAAAACAAATGCGCAGGTAACATCCCCAGCCCCCTCCCTGAACAATCATAAGAACAAAACACCTGTCAGATCTAATTTACCTCTGTAAAAACACTAAATAAACAGGTAGAAATTTCACCATGTTCTGAAAGCTAACACATTTCTGTTTTGACCAGTGAAAAAACCACGTTCTGAGTCCAAAGGTCATTTGCCACCAGAGGTTCAAATCTAGTACTGTTACTGAGAGCTTGTTAGCTAGTCCCGAGTGGTGTGGCAGTAGGGGGTGGTGGTCTTCAGGTATCTATGACCTACATAAGCCTTTAAAGGAGGAAGGATAGCTCAGTGGTTTGAGCATTGGTCTGCTAAACCCAGGGTTGTGAGTTCAATCCTTGAGGGGGCCACTTAGGAACTGGGGCAAAATCAGTACTTGGTCCTGCTAGTGAAGGCAGGGGGCTGGACTCGACTCAATGACCTTTCAGGGTCCCTTCCA